CTGGTGAGGTAGAACCGCCACGGTGAGGCTGAACCGCCCCCAGTGAGGTCGAAACGCCCGGTGATGTCGAGACGCCCCGGTGAGGTCGAAACGGCCCCGGTGAGGTCGAATCGCCCCGGTGAGGCTAAAACGTCCCCGGTGAGGCTGAGACGGCCCCGATGAGGTTGAGATAGCCCTGGTGAGGTTTGCAACGGCCCCGGTGGGGTTGAGACGGCCCCTGAGAGGCTGAGACGCCCCGGTGAGGCTGAGACGGCCCCGGTGAGGCTGAGACGGCCCCGGTGAGGTTGAGACGGCCCCGGTGAGGTTGAATCGGCCCCGGTGAGGCTGAAACGGCCCCGGTGAGGTTGAGCCGGCCCCGGTGAGGTTGAGACGGCCCCGGTGAGGTTGAGAAGGCTCCGGTGAGGTTGAGAAGGCCCCGGTGAGGTTGAGATGGCCCTGGTGAGGTTGAGAAGGCTCTGGTGAGGTTGAGAAGGCTCCGGTGAGGTTGAGACGGCCCCGGTGAAGTTGAGACGACCCCGGTGAGGTTGAGAAGGCTCTGGTGAGGTTGAGAAGGCTCCAGTGAGGTTGAGACGGCCCCGGTGAGGTTGAATCGGCCCCGGTGAACTTGCAACGGCCCTGGTGAACTTTCAACGGCCCCGGTGAGGTTGAAATGGCCCTGGTGAGGCTGAGGCGGCCCCTGTGAGGCTGCGACGGCCCCTGTGAGGCTGAGACGGCCCCTGTGAGGCTGGGACGGCCCCTGTGAGGCTGGGACGGCCCCTGTGAGACTGAGACGGCCCCTGGGAAGCTGAGAAAAATACCACATGAATTCACTCATTTATAGATAATAAGGACCATTATAGACTGATGAACAAAAATGGATACAGAGGCAGAGCAGCATTGAGCAGAATGTCAAACTACAGTGGGAACCCTGGGAAGGGTTGGGGGGGGTAGGAGATCAACCGAAGGACTTATATGCATGCATATGAGAATAACTAATGGACACAAGACACTGGGGGGTGGGGGAAGCTGGGGGAATGTCACGGGGGGGAAAAAAAGGAAACATGTGTAATACTCTTTGTAATACTTTAAGAAATAAAAAAAAAGTCTTTACAGGTGAGCCCTAGCCAGTTTGGCTCAGTGGATAGAGCATTGGCCTGTGGATTGAAGGGTCCTGGGTTTGATTCTGGTCAAGGGCACATGCCTGGGTTGCGGGCTTGATCTGCAGTAGGGGGTTGGCAGGAGGCGGTCAATCAGTGATTTTCTCTCATCATTGATGTTTCTCTCTCTCTCTCTCTCTCCCTTCCTCTCTGAAAGCAATAAAAAAATATTTTAAAAAAAAAGAAAATAATTTTATGGTTGGGGGTCACCACAACATGAGGAACTGTATTAAAGGGTCGTGGCATTAGGAAGGTTGAGAACCACTGCAAGCGTGATATACTCGTTAGCATGTTACTGTAAAGTTGTAGGCTGGGATTTGAATCCAGGCCTTCTGCCTGTAGACCCTGTGCTTTTATGTGGTGAGAGCCAGGGCTGAACAGGATGCATGTACATCTTATGACCCACAGCTCTTTCCAGTATGACAAACCAATGCAACTCCTGATACTCTGGCCAGGCAAGCTGTCACAAGCACTAGGCTTTGCCACTTGGTTCTGGGCAAGACTTCTAACCTCACTGAATTTCAGTTTCCTCACTTTTAATTCTTAATGGCAATTCGATTCTCTCTGAATACCTCAGAGGGTTGGGAGGACCAAACAAGGGAAAGACTTTGTAAACCCTAAAGTACTTTGGACATGCAAGATGAATTGTTCTCTTCTGAAATACAAGGCACCGTGTTTAATGGCACTGTTAGAATCATGGGCCTCTCACTTACTGTGCTGTAACTAAGAGACCAACGTGGAATTGACATGAGAGACTGAAAATCAGTTCAGCTCAGGCCCTTACAATGGGAAACCACCTTACAAATTCTGGGAGAACTAGATGATGACCTTGACTAAATGATAAGGATAGGCAGACGGGGAAGGCAGAATGACCATCAAGCCCTCTGACGCACACCAAGCCCATGTCTGCAGCTTTAGAAACTGGTCCTCACCGACAGTGACCCCAACACTGCTACACTTCCAAGTGTCTTTGTGTTGGGTAGAGAAACGATATTCGTACCTATACTCATTCCTCTAAGTAAGGCTCAAAATAGTTTCTCTATTAGTAGTGATGACACCCAAATTTACTATATCCATTCTATTCTAAAAATATTTAAGGATATAAGCAAAACGGAGCCAAGACACTCACCATCAGGTATTTGAATGGAGCCTTCTGGGCCCCACTCACTCCAGAATCCGTGGTCTGGCTTGCAGCGAACCTGGACAAGGTATTTTTTTCCTGGATATAAGCTGAGAATCTTAAACTGAGTTTTCTGCCCAGCGAAATGAACCTAAGGAGGAGCAAGGAAAACAGAAGTCACTCTGACTTATGTTCTGAAGAAACAGACTTTTCCCTTAGAGAAGAAACTATTGGAGGAGTGAGGCCAGGCGATCAGACTTAGTAGATACCTTGCTCTCACCATTCTACCCTCTCAGCCCATCCCTTTTCACTCTGAAACATTGTTCACACAAAAATTAACAGGTTTTCTACCTCTCCATTTGGAACTCTATTTCAGAAAGACAAATATTCCGCACCCTCCTCACTGCCTTCAAAATTCTACTTTACAGAAGGTGACCAGTTAATGACATCGTAAAATAGTTATTTTGTGAACCCCAATGAAGTAACTGATTCAAGGATCATTCAAGTAAAGCCACTAGAGAACTGGGATGTATGTTGACTCAATAGTGCACAAATTAAATGTGACTTTACAATTCAGACACCAGGTTGACCCCTAAACCAGGGGTCAGTTTTAGCATCATGTATGAGGTCAACCAGATGGTTTGTGTCCCCTGACATGATGTGATAGGAAGTAATATAATGTCACCTCTGAAGTCCTCTTGCCCCAAACTGTCCAACCCGAATCTAATCAATTCTTTATATCTAATGTCTGGTTACAGGAAATATAGGGGCAGAGAAATTAGCAAAATGACCTCACAAAGAATTAATCAGATTAATGCAAAAGAGAGAGCATTCTACGGGACTGAGCACACTGAGACTGAAGGCACATAAGTAATGACCAGTCACGTGCATTGTCCTGGATGGATGCTGGTCTGGACAAACTAGCTGTTAAAGACATTTTTTGAAGCAATTGGGGGAACTAAAATACGGACAGGCTACTTGAATTATGTAAAAATTTTAGTTAATTTTCAATGTCTGATTTTATTTGGGCTATGTTTAAAAATGTTTCCTTTCTAAAAGAGACAATCTAAAGCAATGGTTGCCAACCATTCAAACCTCACGGACCACCAGTGGTCTGTGGACCACCGGTTGCCGACCACTGACCCAAAGTACTTAAAGTGGAATATCAGAATGCCTATAATTTATTGTATTACTTATTATTTTTAAAAAATTTATTTGAGAGACAGAGAGAGAAAGAATATTGATTTTGTTGGTCTACTTATTCGTGCATTCATTGGCTGCTTCTTGTATGTGTCCTACCTGGGGATTGAACCCACAACTTTGGCATATCAGGACAACACGCCAACCAAAAAAGCTACCCGGCCAGGGCCTCTGTATTATTTCTTTACATTAAAATAATTTGAAGTGAATAAAAATGCCACTGCTCATTGACTGCTTACACTGAGATTTTTTCCTCCCACTTAGTGCCACTGAAGTACTCTCATAGGTGTCTAGATCTATGATATCCTGAAGGAGGTGGTTTAGAAACCTGGTGGAAGAGATTGTTCAGTGCAAAGAAGGGATTAGCCTTGGGAGAGCTGTGAAGATGCACTCCATCAACCCCAAAGGAGGGGAGAAGGCCCTTCGACATCAGCATCAGGAGGGCAACATGATGCCTAGTAGTTAGGAGGAAAGACCTGTTCCCCGTAACAAGGGTTTAATCTTTGTCAAAGGACATGGTTCCTTCCAAATGCTCGCGGTTGACTCACCTCCCACTCATTTGCTTTTTCAGGCTTTAATCGAATTTCGTATTGTAGTGTGAGCCAGCCGGATTTTACGTCGACCTGGGTGGGTGGAAACCATTTTATCCACAGGTACGGTTTTTGGTCTTCTGGATATTTTACTTCCAAAATCAGGTTTATTGGAGGGTCTGGTTCAACTGAAAATAGGAAAGAAATCCCATATTTAGTAAAAGGGGTATTTGAACACAAAACTATATGACTTCCAAGAGACACCTTGTATTTGATGTCAGGTGCTGGTCAGCAGAGTTGGGATCAGGTTGAAGCAAGGGAGATATGTAGGATAAAAAGTTTCAGGAGGAACAAATGGCCAACAAGCACATGAAAGATCCGCAGTGTCATCAGTCATTTGGGAAATGCAAATCAAAATCACAACGAGATACCATTTCATCCCCACTTAGGATGGTTGAAATTCAAGAAATGAAAAATAACAAATGAGAGTGTTGGAGACATTCCCTCATACATTGCTGGTGGGAATGAAAATGGTGCAATGCTGTGGAAAAAGTCTGGAACTTACTCAAAAGGTTAAATATTAAGTCACGTCACCCATCAATTTCATGTCCTAGCCAACATACTAAAAGAAATGAAGGCAGGTGTTCAAACAAAAACTCATCCATGAATGCTCACAGCAGCACTATTCACAATAGCCAATACGTGAAAACAACCCAACTGTCCATCAACTGATGAATGGCTAAACAATATCCATAGAATGAAACATTATTCAGCCATAAAGAGGAAGGCAGTATGTATTGATACAGGCAATAACATGGATGAATCTTGAAAACATTACACTACGTGAAAGAAGCCAGACACAAAGGCCACCTACGATATGACTCCATATATATATAACATATCCAGAATAGGCAAATCTGTAGAGAAAGAATGCAGATTAGTGGGGCTGGAGCAAGGGGGGAAATCTGGAGTAACTACTCAATGGGTATTTGGAGTCATGAAAGTTTTCTGGAACTAGATAGTGGTGATGGTTGCATAACATTGAGAATGAACTAATACTGAGCACTAAATTGCATATTTTAAAATGGTTAAAATGGTGAATTTTATGTTATGTGTATATTACCATGTTAAAAAAAATTAAGGAGGCACTTACTCTCATATTCCTTCAAGTACAAGTCTGTGAGTGCCTCATTAAGAGTGAGATGCCTAGAACCCTGGCTTGCCTCATCCTAGTCTCAGTCTTGCTAGTCAGTAATACTTTCTCACTTCATTTATTACCTCCTCAGCCCACTCTCCACACCAGGTGGCATAAGAGTGAATGTAGCTATAGTGTACTTGACATTATAACCTGTAATTACCTACAAAAGGAAGGTTAGAAAATTTGCCACTAATCCTAATGCTTCTATGTTACCAAGTAAATACCTACGAAAGATTATTTTATATGCACTCACTAAACAAACATCAGTTATTCAATAGAAGTTTTAAGTTAAACACAATTCTGAGAAATGCCTCTGATCAAAAAAATGTTGTGCAGAAGCCCATGTACAATGTCCAGGGTGATTCTTTAAAGCAGTTTCTCACCCTCAGCACCATTTGTACTTTGGATCAGGTAATTCTTTGTTGTGGGGGCCAACCTGAGCATTGTGGGATGCTTAGCAGCATCTCTGGTCTCTGCCTATTAGATGTCAGTAATACCCTTGTCTCCCCTCCCTGGGCTATGATAATAAAAAAAAAAATGGCCCTAACCAGTTTGGCTCAGTGGATAGAGCATCAGCCTGCGGACTGAAAGGTCCCAGGTTTGATTCTGGTCAAGGGCATGTACCTTGGTTGCGGGCACATCCCCAGTGGGGGGTGTGCAGGAGGCAGCTGATCGATGTTTCTCTCTCATCAATGTTTCTAACTCTCTATCCCTCTCCCTTCCTCTCTGTAAAAAATCAGTAAAATACATTTAAAAAAAAGTGTCTCCTGCCATTGCCAAATATCTGTGGGAGGCAAAATAGACCCCAGTTGAGAATCACTGCTTTCAAGTGATACAGCAGTTACTCATTTTAGAACTTTTTTTGCTTTCACTGTTTTGCTCTCAAATACTAGTTGAATCTTTGAGGGCAACACAATTCAAGAAAGAACCATAAAGAAGAAATTATTTGGCATTTGGCATCTTAAAGACTACATATCTCAAGTAAATTTATATGACTGAAATTTATTGTATTCTGACTTGTCAGTGGGTTACCTTGTGGATTTTCCTAAACTAAGATTCAATTCACTTTCTACCTCCATGCTCATTGCAATGATTTGCTGGGGGCAGAAAACATTCAAATGTGAGCCAGTCGGTGTTATTAGCCACTGATAACATGACAATGCAATGACATGCACGTGCGTGTTTGAGATTCCCAGCCTAATTTCCCTTGTTGGGTGGCGTTAGGTAAATCTTAGGTAATCTTGAATCTAATACTTCTCCCTAGATTATTATCAAAGATGAGGGCTGACCCCAATCCTGGCTAACCCATGTCTTGTCCTAAGATTCCCTTTGTCATCCCTGCTAAACCACAGAGGCCACTGCAGTGATGCCTTCTTGCCCTGCAGCTCAATGTGGATCACGCAAAGCAAGAAACAGCTCTTGGGTTGATTTTGTTTTGCTTTGCTAATGGGGCCCGCAAACCTCCTACGTGTGGTTGTGGCCTTCAGCCTGCTGTTCAAGCAACATGCTTTACTCCCCAAATTCTTTATTTGTAAAAGAAGAGTTCCAGTTGCTAAGAAGTATGTGCACATTGAGAATTCAATTTGGGCAAAGCCGTTGGAGCTGGTCCTGTGGGTGTAGAAGCAGATGAACTCCATGAGCTGCTACTCTGGTGAGCAGCTCCGTCCTCCAGGGGGAGAGAGAACTGAAGTCCCAGCTTGCCTGGGGGGAAGGGGACACTGATTGCAGGAGGAGGGCTGGAGGGAAGGATTGATAAGAGAAGCACAAATAGAACACTCCTGTTGGGTGCAAGGGGATGGGAAGAAAGGTCAAAGGGAAGAAGAGAAACACAAGGACCCCAAACACTGTCATGAATGATTCCATAAAAATTCTTAGTTGACGAAAATAGTGTGAATTTTCTCATCTTTCTGGTGATTCATCCTTAAGCCAGGAAGACTCAAATGAAGTTTGACTCTTGGTAGGTCTGTGATGGAGTAAGAAATTCCTCACCCATCCCCTTACCTATGTAAGTCACATCCACATAATACGGATCTGAGGCGTTGCTTCCCATCTGGTTCGTGGCGTTTACTGTGATGATGTACATTGTCCAAATGGAGGTGTGCTTCTTGTCAAAGTAACAGGAGTTGGGGCCACTGGTGTTGTAGTCTGGACATTCATAGGTGAACGGATTTCTGCAACATATTATACACTAGGAGTGAGTAAGAAAGTAGTAAAAAGAGCCTAGTTTTTTTCTTAATAGGTCAATACCACTGGATTTTGGGGATCAGCGCTGAAGAACGGCACCCCCAAGCTTTGAGCCCTGGGAGAGAGATAGGTGAGAGAATGCTGGGGAAGGGGGTGGAAGTGTCACTTCAGAGCTTGCTGACTCTGCTTCTCATCAACCCTTCCTTTCTATGGTATCTGGTGGGCTTTGTGACAATATATGCTGGAACTTTCAACAGCCAAGGCACCACCATGCCCGAGGTCCCGCCCCTGGGTCATCTCAGGAAACAGGGACCTTCCCCTGCACCTAACACTCAGGGGGCATGCACATGCAGCATTTGTTGCACATGTAGATTGAATTACATTTCATTTAAAAAAGGTGCAAGAGAATAAAAGCTGACGCCGGCATATTTCAGATTGCACCAGTCAGCAACAGTGATGTGACTGTGAAGAAAGATATTTCAGGCCCAAGAGGCTCATCAGTCTGTTCTCCTGAGCCTTGGGGGCCTCCACGCGAGACGCTCCCCGCAGGTGTGGAGGAGCATCCCATTCGGGTTGCCAGTGGAGCTGCTGAATGGGTGACTTGACACCCTGTGGGCCCCAGACGGGCTGACAGCTCTGTGTACACAGAGTGCCGGCGCTGGGCGGTGGGCCAGCTGCTGCTACCGGTAAATGGTGCTTCTCTGAGGAAGGAGACGGCTCTCCCTGAGGGGTAACGAAATCCTCACCCACAGATGACCTCTTTCAGTCCGCCCTGCAACCTGGGCTCCAAATACACCCTCTGGGAGATCAAGGATCTGGGATTAGCAATTTCCTAAGGGAAAAACCTCACCTTCCTAGAGGGCTTTTAATTTTCTTGGACACAAAACTAGTTTGAAAAGCTAATGTTCCATGGTTGTCTTTTTATGTTGCAAAAGTAATTATTAGTAAAATAATTATAAATAGCAGCAGGCTTACAGATAAGCATTTGAAATGAACTAACACTCAGCCAACACTTATATGGGACCTTGGGCTGCAGCCTAAGTCGGGGACAGGCAATTGGAAACATTGCTATTGTAGTCTCTCCTGATCCATGGGGCTACGCTCTAAGACCCAAAGTAGACGCCTGGAATGCTAGGGAGTCGAACCACATATATACTGTTGTTTTTCTATACATATATACATACATACCTATGATAAAGTTTAATTTTATAAATTAGGTACAGTAAGAGATTAACAACAATAACTAATATTAAAGTAGAACAATTATAACAATATACTGTAATGAAAGTTATATGAATGTTCTTTCTCTCTCTCTCTCTCTCTCTCTCTCTCTCTCTCTCTCTCTCTCTCTCCCTCTCTCTCTCCCTCTCTCAAAATACCTTATGCTACTGTACTCACCCTTCTCCTGATGAAGTGAGGGGATACAGGCCGATGTGATGAGATGATATGAGGAGGACACAGGCATGTGACATAGCGTTAGGCTACTATCGGGCTATTTGATGGATCTGATAACCCAAGTGACTAACAGGCGGGTAGCTACCCGGGATGACAAAGGGATGACTCACATCCCAGGTGGGATGAAGCAGGATAGTGTGAAATTTCATCACGTGACTCAGAATGGCACAAAATTTAAAACGTAGGGACTGTTTATTTTTTGGAATTGTCCATTTAATACTTTTGGACTGTGGCTGATCGCCAGTCACTAAAACCCCGGAAAGCAAAGCTCCGGATAAGGGGCCATTACGTGGGATTGCTGAGCTGGCGGAGGAGCTGACGCACATTGAGATGGCGCTTAACGGACATGACAGGAGAATGTGGACGTGGATGCTGGGGTCCCTTCCCCGGAAGAAAGAGCCTTGTTAGCGGCCACCCGGGGCCACGTGGGAGTTCTCACTCAGAAGCAGCCTTGCGTTGCCTGGAGAGCGGGCGCACTCACCCTTCCTTGTTGTAGGTGAGCGTGTAGTTGGTGGGAAGTCCTCCGTCCGGCCCCGGATTCCACCAGCATGAGAAGGTCTCCTTTTCGGTGGAGCGACATTTCGAGATCTGGGGCTTCCCAGGAGGTGACTGTCCTAGAAAAAGCCAGAAGCTACTGGAATCAATCTCAAGGTCCATTCAAGCATTCGATCATCCTGCTGGTGACAAAAGCAGGTTTATGGGACCCTGCCAGTGATGGGGTCTTGGGTGAAGAGGCCTAGGGGTGGGGGGCTCAGAAATGCCAAAGTGCTAGCATCTAACAACCCTCCTCCGTGGGCTGTCCCTTGTTGGCTGGATGGGGGGAGAGAGAGAGAGAGAGAGAGAGAGAGAGAGAGAGAGAGAAAGTGAGAGAGGGGGGGAAGAAAGAGAGAGGACAAAAGAGAGGAAGGGAGAGAGCGTGAGAAAGGGAGAGAGCTTTGTAGTGGTAATGGAGAGGTGGTGGTGGTGGTGGTGGTGGTGGTGTGTGTGTACTGTGTGAGATGGAGATAACAACAACCTAGGATCAAGTGACAAACTGTAAAGTTCCAACAGAGAGTAGGATGGGCTGAGGAGTGTGTTCCCTTCTGGAAGCCCATGGAGTCTATGCAGCTGGTACCCGCCCACAGCATGAGGGTGGCGGTAAAATGAATTCTCCCCCTTTGCTGACACAGTGCTCTCTGGCACTTGTCCCTCTGCTCATTGATCTACATCTTTCTGTCATTTCCTCACAAGGAACACACCTCTGATCTTTTGTGATTCATTGTGTCACGGGTGCTCCTCCCTCAGCTTCCTCCTCCCCCTCCCCCTTCTCATCTCCTTTCCTTCCTGTTCCTTCTCCTTTCCTTCCTTTCCCCTTCATTTTTCCTTAGTTCCACTCCACTTTGACCTGTAACCCTGTCTCACAGTGTCTCCCCATTATCCCCACCCCCATTTCTGAATCCTGGTTGTCAGTGTCCTTTTCTTTCACATTTCCCCCTCTCTCCTTGGGCCTTTATGTGGGGAGGGACGAAGCGCTTCCTTGCAATGCTATGGCTTCTGGGAGACAGGAACCATGGAGAGAAGTGGGGGAGTGGGGAGCTGGTCTCCTGGCTCGGAGCTACCATGATGACTGCCCAGGCCCAGCTGGAAGCTAGAAGGTCTGAAAGAGGTGACGTGGAAAATACGTCAAGGGAACAGAATGTTTCAGTTGCCTAAACCCCGAAGCTTTTGGTGAGCTGGCCCCTCCTCTCTTCCTTATCTGCCAGGTCCCAGAGGGAATGTGTGGCCCTGAGAGTTGGCCCTGTCAGTCCTTTTCACTGAGCTGGGAGCCTGCATGCTTGGTTTGGAGTCAGGAGCTGGAAGGAGAGCTGTCAGGTGTGGGTCTCAGTCACTAGGGGGCAGTGATTCCCTCTCTTTTCTCCTCACCCCTCATGCTGGCTCCTGAGCCAGAACTTCCAGCGGAGCAGCGGATCCAAAAGATGGGGCGAGTGGGCACCAGGCAACACTGGTCAGAAAGCAGGATTTAGTGAATGGCATCTCACAGGCTGGACCGAGGCCGCCGGGCTGATGGTCGGCTGAGCCGCACTGCAGCTCCAAGCCCCACCAAACGGCCCTCCAGCCCGCCTGGCGCTCGCGCTGCCCACGGCAGTCACACTGCTCGTCCTCTCGGCAATGTCACAGGCTAATGCGAGGGCTTGGGTTTTGCTTGGTTCTCATCATGGCTCGGGAGGAGTGTGTGAAGTAGAAAGAAAAGTTTATTTAAAAAACCCAAGCCCTGTGGTTCAGAAACAAGCAGACAGGCCACTGCTGCTGATCTGAGCTCTTAGCGTTTCCCCGTGGATTCTCTCCATCTCTGTTTCCCTTTGCTCTCTCTCTGAAAGTCTCTCTCACATTTCACTGGCTGCTGGCAGTACCTCTAGAAACTCAATAGAGGACAGTAAAGTTATCAAATGTTCCCTTCATCCACTTTAGAGGAGACAGTTAAAATGAATGGACTGTCGCCTTACCTCCATGAAGTGCACACAGACCCAGGGACAGCCACATAGGCACCTACACACGGGCTCACACACGGGCCCACACACAGGTCCACGGAGCCGCATTAGAAACACACAGAAGTATACGCAAGTGCACGCTTAGAGAAGTACGCACTGGTACACACTCAGAAATATACCCACACACAGAGGTGCACATGCAGACGGATACCCACACAGGTACACACAGAGAAGCAGTTGCAATCAGGCCCATATGGAGAAGTTAATATACACACAGGGGCACCCCAAAGTATACACACCCAGAAATACGAAGGGTAGACACGCAGGTGCACAGTCTGGGGTAGCTGTGAACTCATTGGCCCCATTAGCACAGGTGGTCGAGTTGGCGGCACCCATTTCCCGCCAGGCAACAACAATCCCTCTTCTCTCTTTATAGGTTTTCTAAGATTTTTCACAGACAGTATTTCATTTGAGGTGGAGGCACCATCACTCTACTCAAGTTGAAAAGGTGGGAACCCACAGCGATTAGGTTAGGGCTCGAGGTTACACAGCTGGTGGCTGACAGCCCGGCCGCAGCCCTGGTCCCGTGTGGAGCTGCTTCACTGCACCCCCGGGATGAAGGTGCAAGTCTGCAGGGGGACAAGCTTTGCACTGATAGTTTGCACTCACGAATGGCGCCAAATACACTGCAAACAACGTCCTAGCAACACATTTTCAGTTCTCAGAACTGCACGGCAAGAGGACCGCGAGGACGCTCCATCCTCCCAGCAAACACCCCCCTCCCTCCCCCCCCCCCCAAAGAGAGCAGGGCGGCTCTTACTTACCGTTCAGAAGACGGATGTGGAGAAAAAGGAGCAAAATCCAGACACACGTGGACGGCGCGTTTCCCGTCATGTTGGCTGCCTTCTGCGTCCGCGGGAGTCAGAGGCTTACTGGAAGAGAGGGCGGCAGGCCAGCTTTTAGAGAGGACAGTCGGGTCGGGACCAGGCACCCCTTGATTCTGGGTGTTTGCAAAGGACTCTTGCTCCCTGCTTTCTGTGAAGGACAAGCCAGGAGGGAAGGAATGCGGGGAGAGGAGCATGGTCCGATGGCTTGGCTCAGAGGCATCTGTGCGCACATGCTGGGGGAAATCCCACCAGCAGAGGTCATCAGATGACAACATTCAAGGGCAGCCATGGCAGTCGGCTCCTTTCGCACACCCCAAAGAACACTGCTCTCTTCCGCCCAGCAGTCACCTAACAACACATCGCCCTGTGGGTGCGAAGGGACAGGTGCCACAACAGGGAGCCGTTCTGGGAGGGCTTTGCTCTGCCAGCCAAACGCAAAGCAGTGGAACATCGGTGCACTTGGCACAACTCCAACTTGGCCTCATTGATGCCACACAGTTGGGGGGGGGGCTTCCTCGGGAGGTGCAGGCTGAGAAGGATCTGGAAATCTTGGCTACAGGCATGGCCATGAACCGCGTGGTGAACTTTGGTGAACTTCCATGTGGTTTCCCTCTCCCTTTTGGAAAAGCCCCATAAACAAGAAATGACAAACCCAGTAATAATTCAAGTCCCTTGGGTGCCGAGTGTTAAGTAAGATTGAACCTGCAGGGTTGAGAGTTTCAAGAAATTTATTATTAATATTATTTTACTCTTGGAACCAGTTTTAGAGCCTCTAAATGTTCTTTTCTTTAGACTCCACGCAGCTCTCAGAAAACAACAGAGTTGATGAACTGAGTGCAACTGCTTGGAAAAACAAAGCATACAGTTTCCTTAAAAAAATTTTTTTTTTAAACCAAGGGAAGAATACCCAGGGGCAAGGCTGCTCATATGGGGACATTTGAAAGGACTGAGTATTATCTGATGAGCCCCCAAAAGACCAGCCTTTGCCCATTTCTCCTGGTCAGAGGGCGGTTCCCCATTTGCCAGCTGGACACCCCCTAATGGGCTTCCTGAAAGCTTTGTCCACCTGCTCCCATTCCCCCAACATTCTCAGAAATGAAGTCTTAGTGACAATAGAGGGTTGGGTATATGGGTGTCATCAGTGACTCTCTTACACTGGGGCTCTGGGAGGTGGCCAGTTTGCTTTTCCAGACTTTACATTCTAAACCACCTGGTCCATCTAACTCCTCAGAATCATCTACTGAAATCAAGCTGTTAAAGACTCATAATGGGCTTATGCATGGAGCACTTACTAGGGGCTGGACACTGTGCTCAGTACCCGAATTACTTACATTTCATTGAACCCTCACATAGCCCCACCGGTAGCCCCTTGAACAGATGCGGAAGCTGAAGCACAGAGCAGGTTGGTAAGTAAGCTCACATGAGAGAGAAATCTGGCAAATCTGAGCACATCTGAGGAATCATCCCGATTTGCGGACAGTCTGTGATCGCCGGTGCGATTATTCCCCCTGCGATGGGGAGAGACAACGGAGACAACAGCAGCCGACCCGCCAAGCCTTGGGCGGGACGGGGTCAGGAGAGCCAGGGCCCAGAGAGGCATCTCAGCTACCCGCCCCACTGGTGCCTGGGCATCTCAAACACTTGACTGCCACTAACCCAGCTTGTTTAGGGCCCGGTGGCCCAGACAAGTTCTTTGTCCTGGAGAGCTGGTGATCTTAGCTGGGCTTGGGGATGGAAATTCCTCCCACTGGCTGGCCAAGTCCTATAATGTGCTTTTATTGAGAGCGCCCGGCTCTTCGGGCCATTGCATCCAAATGCTCGAGAGCGACAGGTTAGAACCACACCTTCGGGCGAGGCCACAGGCTGTCCAGACTGGTCCTCAGAATTGGGACTCCACGTGTTTTGCAAAAGAAATGCCTGGATGGGGAACAGAGTGGGGGCAGCAAGAGCAGATGCTGTCATTGCTTATACTTTCTGGTGCACTGATCCAGGCTCCAAGAAACTCTCCTCGATACAGTTTTCACATAAAAATGCTTTCAGAAAGTATTTTCTGAACTAAAAAGAAACCATTTTTTCTCTCCAGGATTTCCTGACTATCCTGCAGATTGGTTACTAGCCATGCGCACTTTCTGATGCCTTGAAACACCAGAGCCGGGGAAGTAGACGTACGCATCGTGGTGTCATTATTGTGTTTCAATAACGATTTCCCCACTCATTCCACATCCTGCCCTCCAGCAGGACAAACACGGTCGGGTACGTAAACCTTCAGAGAGAAAGATAGTCACAGCGGCGCACTCCGGAGGGAGCTGTGCTGAATGTGAGTCCTGGTCTCACCTGCTGGCTTTGCCCAGCACTAGGCCCACCTCTGCTGGCACTGACCATGTTTTAGGGCTGACGGCCACTAGGCTGGAGATGAACTTGGTGTCTGCCTCTCTGAATCCACCCTCCCATTGCTAACAGGACCTTGATCAAGATGACTCATCCCAGTTGGAGTGGAACACCTAATTTTTAGTGATAGCGAGAGTGGCAAATGGCTCCAAATATTTGGAGTCCGATTAGGAAAAAGTCAGCCCCACACCTCTGCCCCAGGCCAATTATCTTGGCTTCACTCCTCACTAGCTCCCTGGGTGTGACTGTGGTTTGGAAATAGAAGATTTGGAATCAAAGAGCAGGTTTGTAGCAAGTCAGCCGCTCCCACACCTTGCCCATGACCAGCTGCCTGGCTTCCTCGCTTCTGAACCCTCACGGACTCTCCCATCTTTAGCCTCTTCCCATGATCTCGCTCAGACATGCCTTCCTATCTGCTGTGTTCCATTGTGGTGTGACCCCTCAGCCCGCCCCCTTCTTTATCAATGCTGAGCCTGTTCAGACCCTCTCTTTCCAAAAGCTTTCCTTCATTGCCCTTTTCCATTAAGCCATGTGTCTTCACCCAGGCCAAGAGTTGAGAAAGAAATCTGGCAATTTTTGCCCTGGTAGCTTGCTGTTCCGAGAAATCAGAGCCACACCCCTGGATGGAAAATCAGAGCCACGGTCCCATAGCCTGTGCTGACCCCAAGGAGAGAGGCGGTGTGGCCTCCTGAGAGTTCAAAATAACAGATCTGAGGTCCCACTGTCTACAAATCCGCACATTTTGGTGCACCCAGAATTGAGCAAATCCTCAAACCCACCCATCTCATCTCTACCATTTTGTGGGACTTGCTCCTAAGACCTGGTATCAGGTGATCCCCAAAGCGAGTCCAGTCCCTACCTTGCCCTGCCCCATTTGCCACTGTTGCCCTAATGTTCTGCTCAGATTTTTGAATCATTTACCCTGACTCTAGAAATGGGCCTAGCATGCGAGGCAGGAATTCTGAGGCCCTCCCTAGCAATTGCAAGCCCAATTCCCATGGACAGGGCTGCCCAATCCAAGGTCTGGATTTCTTTAAAGACCATCATACATAAGACATGTACAAATCCTAAGTATTCTGCTCAACGAATTATCACAAAGTGAATAAGCTCATGTTACAACCAGGTCCAGAAAGAGAACACTAATAGCACCCCAGAAACCCCCCTGGTGTCTTCTCCCAATCTCTACCCACCCCTCCCCCACAGAAAGCACTCTTTGGACTTCGAACACCACAGGTTCGTTTGGCCCACTTTGGGACTTTATATAAATAGCATCATACAATATGCATGTTCTGAGTGGGTGTGTCTGGCTCCTTTCATTTCAAGCCGTATGATTCAGCCTTGTTGTTACATGTCATTTTACAAAATCCATTTTCACTTCATTTCACTCATCATCATTCATATAACATCTAAAGAAAGGCCATCATTTTTAATTCATTCTACTCTTGATAGACATTCGCCAGTTTCTGGCAGACTTTGGATTTGCTAAGTCTTGTCAAGGCTCAGATGGTAGGGAGGCCCTGCATCCCCCCCCGCCCCTCAGTTCTCTGCTGAATCGTTAGGGCACTGCCTGCCACAGCTCCTGATTATCAATCCGAATTAAATTTCAGATGCCTTTCTTGTCCCAACAGTGCAAAACATCTCATTTCTTGCAGACGAATTTTAAATACATTCACCCACTGTATTCAATGTTAGGAACTGTGTTAGCTGCTTCCTTTGGGGTCTGCTGGGTTGGGGTCCTCAGCTCACTGGGTCCCCTTAAGCTGCTGCTCCACCCTGGTTAGATGGCCTGAGGCTGGACTAACAGGGAGGGAACCCTACATGTCCCCTGCGATTTCCAGGAGTCTGGCCTGTCTTTCCAATAGAGAATGCCAACATTTAGTCTGGAAAACAGAGGCCATAATCTGCTCAGAGTGGGGAGAGCAGGAGGACGGATTAGTGAGCTCACACCAGGGGACAAGATTAAGGCCTTTATACAAGCTCTGTCCAAAGTCAATGGAAAAATGTGTAAATAAAAAGCCATGGGTCCAGACATTCGGGGAACCACTCCCCTAGAGAGTAGGTATCCATCTGGCTCCCCCAATGCCTTCTAAATATATATTTCTTGTCTAGTGTATCCATTTATGTCGCAGCCCCTTCTCCAGATTCCTGAACCCTTGCTGCGAAAAGACTGCGGCAATAGCCTTTGATGGGAAACACTCTGGAACTTTCCACAAGGAAATCACTTCTACAGAAAATGACCATCATATTAGAGCTCAGTGGTTTAGTCAGAACATCAGGGCTCTGTGAAAGTGATCAGGAATAGTATAGAGGCTGATGAAAAATGGCCACCTCGGATTCCAGACCCCTCCCTCACGCCTCTCCCATGAACCTGCGATTCCACTACAGGAAGAACATCTGTCAGATTGTGCTCCGTGCAGACACTCCTGAGGAGGGAGAGTGCTGTGTGTGGTGTTGGCTGCGTGCTGAAGGCCCAGGATTAGCAGAGAGAGAGTGTGTGTCCAGACTGGAGCTGACTCAGGGTTGGTTCCACATATGGGGACTTGAATAGAAAGATCTCCTGGCTCCTAATCGAATCGGGGTAAATCACCACCCTGTGACTTGCATGCCTTTGCACTGGAGTCACTTTAATAAAACAGAATGCTGAGTGCTCCCCACGG